GCTCGCCCACGCGGAGCCAGGGCGAATCGCTGAGTGCCGTCTGCCGAGCCTGGGTGCTGTCTGTGATTAACAATCTAATTATACCATTACATGAGTGCCAGTGGGTTATGGGCACACGTTATGAAAATGCCTGGGCTGGCACTACTTAGTGCCTGGAATGGGCAAGTCTGAATCCACTCAACTGCAAAACACCACCAGGACGTGCAGGTGGCAGGCTGCTCGAAGGGGGCGGGGGACGGCTGTGCTGAGCCAACCCTACCGGGTCCTGCTGGAAACAGTAGCCTTGAAGAGCATTCCAGCAGCTTCAGGCTCATGTGATGTGTTCAAGTCTAATGAAACTGCCCATGCTGGGGTGGGTGGCGCTGCCAGAACCCCTGCTCCCAGTACCCCTCGGGAACACACATGCAGCTTTTATTGGGACTGAGCTTGGGCTGGCTGCTCCCCTGGGTAGAGGTGTCGACGCCCACACCAGTGCCACCCTTCCCACTTAAAGACAGAGGTCTCTGTTGGTGCCGCCAGACAGGACCACTGGGAGCACACCTAGGCCCAGACTGATTGATTTATTAGTCCGTGTACCCTGGGGAGGCCGGGGGAGCTCAGTGACAGGGCGTTCTGGTCTGTTTTACTGCTGATGACAGAAAACACAGGCACTGAGTCACTTATGAGACGAGAGGGTTATTCAGTTCATGATTTGGAGGTCCGAGGTCCAGGGCCAACTCCTGTGGGGTCTTAGACTCCTGATGGCCCCCCAGAGTGAGAGCAGAGCAACTGTCCATGAACCTGCCTGTCCTGGGGTCCCTCCTGCTCCTTATAAACCCACCACGCGTGGATCACGGAGGCCCTGCTAGGATCACTTGAATCTTCCCCAAAGGCCCCACCTGTTGACACCGTGAAGGTACTCAGTTTCCATAGCACATCTCAGCCTGTGGATTTCGGGCATCAGTCGCTGGTGGGGTCTGGGCTATAGGAAGTGGTCGTGGGCGGGTTTGTGGGAACCGGGTCTGGCTCTGGGTGGGATGCAGTCAGGAGGGGCCATGCTGTGATTGGGCTTCTCAGGGAGGCCTGCTGAGGACTGGGGAGGCCGCAGCCTTCACCTCCTTGGCCAGGACAGCTGTATGGTCGTTTTAGGGGTTGGGATCACATTCACGTTTGGTCTGCTCTCAGAGTGGGCTCGTGCTTGTCTCCATCTGTTGTGGGCACACCGTGGCTGCCCAGTGTCGGGGCCCAGTGGCATTTCTGTGACAGGGGAGGCCCTAGGCCAAACCTGAGCTCCTGCCCACTGCAGACACCAAGGGACACTTCCGTCTTGCTCAACTTCTCAGGAGACCTCGACCCTGACTTTAGAGGAATGTCCGTAGAAATGGGTGCATGTGCGCCCACAGTGACTCCGGTGGGACTGGGGGGCTAGACTGTGGGCGTGGCCATTTTCTGAGGTGGTCTCTGGACGTGCCACAGACACAAGGGCCCAGGGCTGCATTACTAACAAGTGAGGTGCCTCTTCTTCCTCTTTCTCCTCCTCTTCTTCCTCTTCCTCCTTCTCTTTCCCCTCCTTTCTTCTTCGTCCTCTGCAGAGCACGTGGAAGGCTCCTCTCTCCTCCCTCAAGAGTCACCCATGGCCCTGGTTGGTGACTCACCTGCCAGAAGGCAGCCCGCAGGGTGGCCCGTCACCGGGAATGGAAGACTGGTCTGGCCTCCTCAGCGCCCAGCCACACCTGTTACCAATACGGCCCGAGGGGTGGCGAGGGTGGGTCTCTGAGGGGCATGTTTCTGGCTGTTCCTGCGAGATGTCTCATCTGAGTCTCTGGACACCAGATGCAAGGCCTGCACATGCGGCTGGCCACGGCTTTCCAGCAGCGCCCCTATTAATACACTGGCTAAAAGAACCACGCCCTTCCCGCCGTGTGCGACCCCTGGGTCTCCGTAAGCTGGAGGCGCCGCGCACTGTGCCCAACGTATGCGGCACTCGGGTGCAGTAACGGCCTTTAAGTCAGGTGACGAGGACATGTGTGACGATGTCTTTAACCGGGCAGGGAAAATCCATGGTACAAACTGTGGTGATACGCAGTGATCAAATGTGTAAATAAAACAACACAGAACGTTTTCTTTCTTGTTAAGAGATTTTTTTGCTATGGGGTACATGCCCTAACCAGAGAGACAGAAAGCGAGAAATCACCACCCCCCCAGGGGAGGGAGTGATGGCCATGCTGCAATCCCTTCTCCTCCATTCTCCTCTTGGGATTTTGGGCACACACACGTACGCGTGCCCAGTATGAGTTTTAAGCCACTGAGTCTGGGACTTGATCCAGGGTCAACTATGTGGGAGTCCAGTGACACAACCATTACACCATCTGCTGGCCCCAGTATTTTCTTTTTCTTTTTTTACTGTTATCATCTTTAAAAAAAAACAAAAACTGAGATTTTTGCCATAGATGTATACATTCACTGGAGAGAGATAGGGAGATGGAAAGTGAGAAATCACTCCCCAGGGGGGTATGGCTATGCTACAATCTTTCTTCATTTTCCTCATGGGATTTTGGGCACACACACACACACACACACCCCTGGCATGATTTTTCAAGTTGCCCAATCTGGGACTCAAACTGCGGTCAGCCAGGTGAGAGTCCAGTGCCTTAACCACCTCACCACTTCCTGGCCCCTGCTATGAGTCTTGTCTATATGTGGCTTCCTCCTATCAGATAAGCAGAAGGTTCCAGATGGACTAATGTGGGAGATTTAAAGAACCTTGTCACACCCGGTACACTTTTCCCAGGGAGAAGACTCCACAGAGTCCCACACACTGATGTGGGGGTTGGAATATCAGAGTGGCTAAGAAATTCTTTCTTCTGGGACCAGCAGATGGTATAATGGTTACATTGCTGGACTCCCATGTAGTCTACCCTGGTTTGAGTACCAGACCCGGCAGCTTCAAACTCATGCCAGCCACACGTGTGTGAATACCCAAAATCTCAAGAGGAGAATGGAGAAGGGATTGCAGCATAGCCGTCCCCACATATAGTAATTTATCACTTTCCATCTCTCTGTCTCTCTTTCTCTGGGTGAGTGCATGTGCCTTATGCCAAAAATCTCCTTTTTTTTTTGGAGAGGTTTTCGTCAGAAAGAGACAGAAAGCCAGAAGTCACCCCCTGGGGGGATGGGCATGCTGCAACCCCTTCTCCATCCTCCTCTTGGGATCTTGGGCATGCACGCACATGTGCCCAGCGTGAGTTTAAACCATTGGGTCCAGGACTCAAACTGTGGTCAACGACATGGGGGTCCAGCGACACAGCCATTACTCCAACTGCTGGTCCCTCCAAAAATTTCTTAAAAAACACCAAAATCTTCCTTCCTCCCGAGTTTTGCAGGTAGAACAAGGCAGTTAAATGGTGAGAGTCTGAGGTTCTTGAAGTGTGCTGTGTTCTCTAGGGCTCTCTCCTTCTGTCTCTCCCTCCACACAAACATGTCACCCTCAGCCCCTCTGCATGGATGTCCCCCAGTCCTGCTCCTGCTTCCTCCTGCCACCAAGATCAAACTTACACAGACTTCTGGTGCCTGGTCCCTGGAGGGATTGGAGCCACTGAGCTCCCTGGCCCTTTCCCTCCCGGTTGAACGGTGTGGCCATCGTCCACCTCCCCCAGCCCAGGTCTCCTTCAAGGTCCAAGGGCCTCGTCTCATCCCTGTAGTCCTCCAGGCTCAGGACCCAGTGCCCAGTGCCCAGCCTGGGGCCTGCACGAGTCCACGGGAGCGTGAGCTCTTGCAGGAAGTTCCAAGGACGCCGCTGTGGAGAGTGTATCAGAGCAGAGAAGTGGGAGCTCGCGTGTGAGAACGGGTGTGTGTGTGCATGGGGGAGGCGTCGCCTCTCTCCCCACCTCCTGCGATGTGTTTACTTCCCCAAAAGTGCGGCTGGTGGGGTTCAGCCGTCACACCTGGCTGGAGCTCCCTGCACTGATGCGTGGCCACGCTTAGGCGTGAGCTCCAGGCAGAGGTCACTCCGTGCTGTGAAAGAGATACCTTTATAAAGGAGATGATTTTGAATGCTTTCCCGTGCCAGTTTACCGTGCTCAAGGGCAGGCCTCGTCGCAGAGCAGCATGGGGGAGACGGCCCCTCTCCGGTTCTGACCCCAGCAGCCCACAGATCATCCTCCACCTCATGCACACTTAGCAGTGCACGCGCCCGTGAAGTGTCCGTGTGCACCGCGCTCATGACCACCACCACGCAGGTGGCGTGGGCGTGAGAAGAAAACACTGCAGCTGGGATTCAGGAATGTGTGAACCCTCGGCCCACAGAAGGAGGAAGTTCACAAATTTTGAGTCCAGAGCATCAACCAGGATAAATTAATCTGTTCTTCCTCCTGTCAAGTCAAAGACTAACGCAAATGGCATTCCAGAAGTGAACAAATGCGGGGCCAGCAGGTGGCACAGTGGTTAAGGTGCTGGACTCCCACGTGACTGACTGTGGTTTGAGTCCCGGACCTGGTGGCTTAAAAATCACACTGGGCATGTGTGCATGAATCCCAGAAGAATGAAGGAGAAGGGACTGCAGCGTGGCCATCCCCCAGGGGGTGAGTTCTCACTTTCCCTCTCATTATCTCTCGTCTCTCTCTCTGGTGAGTGCACATACCCTATGGCAAAATAAATGAAAGAAATGAAGAAATTCCTTTGGGTATGGGACTGTGCTATCACCTCCAGGCCCCAACCTCCCGGGGTCTCCACTTCCTGTCTGGGGAATTACAAGTACCTCTGGTACGTCCTCTGCTGGTCCGGAGGGCAGGACATGAACCCCCTTCATGGCAGCACTCTAAGCCCCGGGAGGTGAGAGCATCCCCTCGGCCAGTGTCCCTGCCACCTCCCTCCAAAGTGTCAGGAGGGGCTCCCTTCCTCCCGCCCCTCCGGCAGGTCCCGGCCATGCTGCCTCTAGGACCACAGTTCTAGGGGCCGGTGGGGATGTGTGTGTGTAGGTAAATACTGAGAAGTATCTCAATAAAGCGAAAGTGTTCATTTAATCTTTGTTAAAAGCATCACAAATGATTTATTGATTTTTAAAAAGGAAAAATAAGAAAGAACGCACGGCCTCTTTGTTATGTGCATATACCAACCACGTGCATGACCCAGTGAACGGGACGTTCGAGGCTGAGAGCCAATGGCATCTATCGCCAGGGGCCTCCACGTACACCCACAGGCCAGAGACGCGGAACCTCATGTTCACAACCGGGTAGCCCATAGGCCTGCGTGTCGGTCTCTACAGTCACAGAGACGGGAGTGTATGAGGTTATGTCAACTGCCACCTTGCTCCCAGGTTCTTGGGCCCACACAACCAAAATATCTCAGAAGTAATAACATAAAAAAAAAAAAAATCCACAAATAACTAAGGGAAAAAACCCTACCCAAACAGCCGAACTAAACTGAGTGGTGGAGGAAGGTCAGAGACCTACAGCTGGTTACCCGTAGGCACTGGTGAGCTGAACGGGGAGGACTCTGTCCAGGGCTTCCGGGCAGGCCTGACTGCTGGCGACGTCGGACCCGGGTCTGACGCTTGTGGGCAGGCAGAGATGAGACAGGTGCTGTGTGTAGGGTGGCAGCAGGATGTGGGTCTCTGCCAAGGTCCCAGAGATTCACTGGGCTTGCCAGCTGCACAACCTCGGGTCCCCTGTCCACAGCCCTTCCCCAAGGACAACCTTGGGGACAACTCGCAGGACAACCTCGGGAAGGGGTGGTTCAGGAGCCCTAGTCAGTGGGCAGAGAGATGTGGGTCGAGCTGGGTGCCTGGGTGTGGCTGATCTTTGAGTCTCCACCTGTGTCAAGAAGGCTGAGCTCCATGGGTCGCCTACTTAAAGACTGGGCGCCTCCCGTGTGCTGGGAACTATTCTGGGCACGAGGAGTCGCCTCTAGGCCTCCTTTAAGGGGCCATGTCTCTTTTCTAGAGACTATGGGTTACCACCCCCAGAGCCTGGCACAGGGCACAGGAGGTTGTCTGGCTTTGCTTGGACTTGCCTTGGCCAGCGAGTTACTAGCCTGGGCTTGGCCTTCTCCAGTTCCCCACCTCTGAGAAAGGCCAGGGCCACCTAAGAGTCGGGCCGGAGGGAGGGGATGTTGGAGAGGAGGACATTGACTTCCTGTTTCAAGGCAAAAGGTGAAGGCCCCCCACCCCCAACCCCCATGTGTAGACTGAGGCTAGCATCCCTGATTATAGGCAGCTGTAAGTGCAGACCGCACTGCCCTGGGGATGGAGGCTGGTTCTGGGGCCACCTCTGCTGCCGTGCTGTACCTTGGGAAAGCGCCCCTCTCTGGGCCTCAGTTTTCCATCTTCGAAATGAGGGGCACTCTCTTGGCCTGTCCTGCTCTGTCATCCTAACCCTCTCCTGGCTTGGTTTCTACACAGGTCCCTCAGGCTCTCAGGAGGTGCAGGGAACTGGGTGCATCTCATGCCCGTTCCCACCACCTGCCTTCCTGGGGGTGCCGGCTCCTTCCGGAACCTGCTCTCCGCTGGGGAGAGGAGCAGCCTGTGGAGGGCGCTGCCTGCTGGCAGGAGTAAGGAATTGCAGGCACAGGATGCCTTCCTGTGACTCCCCACCCCAGGTTCCCCCAGGGAAAACCGAGAAGAACACTTGACCTCTGGGCCCTGGAAGAGGAGCCCCGGGCATGGTGGAAAAGGGGCTTGGACAAAGCAACCCAGATGGCTACTGTGGGGCCATAAAAATAGGACGTTAAACACCCCCTCCCCCCAATGCAAACAGCTTCCTAGAGAGGTATTTACATTATCTGCAGTTTAAAAAGAAGGGGAGCACAGGAGCCTGGAGGGTGGGTTGGGAGGGCCTGGCTCTCGGGCTTTCAGGATGCTGGAGGGCGAGGGTCTCCCTTGCAGGCAGGAGCACAGGAGGAGGAGGAGGAAAGCAGCAGGGACTCAGGCTCTCCTAGAGACAGGAGCCCCCAGTGCAGGCTCCACCAGCTCTGCAGTTCTTGGAGCTTTGGGCAGCTGGGCAGGCTCACCCCTAGGCTCGGAAGGAGACAGGCCAGCCTCACTGGGTGCAGGCAGGCCTTGGACTGAGACAGCAGGGTGTGGAGTGGCCAGGGTGGCGTGTGTGGGGTCCAGGGTCAGAGACGTGCCCTGAGTTGGGGCGGGACAGTAGCGGCACCAGGCGGGAGGGGCAGGAGTCAGCATCCCTGAGCCCAGGCAGGCTTGGACAGAACTGAGGGAGTGTCTGTCCCCTTGTGCGGGGCCAGATGGAGGAGGTGGCTTTTTCACAGGTCTCTGAGGGGATGTCGTTCCAGCGGCCGGCTTCGCTGTGGTCCTTTGCCCTCCATGAGGGTGAGACAACGGAAAGGAGAGTGTTCCGGGCACAGGCCTCAGGCGGCATCAGCTCACCAGGTAACTGTGCATCTCGCGGGAATTGATGCTCAGGACCACGCCAGAGTGGTTGCCTAGGAAACAAAGAGATGGCCCATGTGCACATGCCCACCGATGGGGGTTAGAGACAGCCACGTGGGGACACAGTGGTGGCCTCAGCCAGAGCATCAAGCCAGCGTGCGGTGGGCATCTGTGGCCCATGAGCGCATGCCAAGTGCAGGTGGTGGGGGTCTCTACATTCCTGGGGGTGCCTGGGGAGTGGCTTCTCCGGGTGCCATCACGAGCAGTGGACCCCAGCGGGCCTGTGTGGCGAGGCCAGGCCAGACCCCACCCACCACACCCACTGACCTGCATGGGGACTGCCCCCGGCATCAGCAGCAAGGGGGTGCCAGAGGGGCTGAGGCTTCGACCCCTCCTGACATTGGGCACTGCAGGGCCAGGCGCGGCAAAGCCCCGGAGGCAAGAGCGGGAGAGAGGGTGGCACCGTGACCGTCAGAGACCGGGCAGTTGGGTGGTGCTAGGCGGGGCTGGGTTAGACCAAGGGGACAGGACGAGGAGCCTGGGACTCAGCTGCTCCTTGCGAGCCAGCTCCCTGCTGGGTTCGTGCATCACCCGGGTGACAGCGGCTGGGAGCACTAAGAGGCACTGCTAGGTGGTGGGTACCCCAGGGTTACTGGGTGATCCTGAAACCCCGCCAGACTTGCCGCGAGACCCTCGCTGGGCTCTGGCGTTGACAGTGTTGCCAGCGTTGCCTCCCACAACCTGAGGGTGACGTCTGCCCTGTCCCCACCACCCTCCAGAGAGCAGCGGCGGGGTGTGAACACACACCTAGGGCACAGGGGCACACTGGGCCTTGGTTAAAATAACCCTTTACCTCGTCGTTCTGTAGAGGCCAGAAAGAATGGCTGTCTGAGGCCCCCGCCTTCCCCAGACACCACACCCTGGGGTCTTGAAGACTTGTTGGGAGGTGGGGGCCGGCGGTGGGGCGCCCCAAGAGCACCTCAGCCCTGAGCGGGGGACAGCCGGCTCTAAGAGGTCCTTGGGTCTGCAGGCCACTCGCCCTGAGCGCGGGGGCCTGCAGGGTGGTGGGGGGGGGAGGCAGGCGGGGGA